AGTTTCAACTGTGTCAACAGCGAGTGACTTTCTTTCCTCTTCTGGATTCCTTGTGGTAGAGCCTGCAGCATATGACATTGACGGAGTGTCTCCCGTTGCGTCCAAACCTCGGTGGCATCCATAATATGCTCTTGTAGGTTATCATCTGGCTGTTTTGTGTGCTGTCGCAGCTTGTTGGCGTATGTCATAACACAATCTTCGGCCGAATGACCGAAGCGTCGACAGTTGTCACAGCGAGGGGTCCTGCAGTTTCGACGGATGTGTCCAACCTTACTGCACCGAAGGCAAAGTGGTGGGCGGCCAGGTATCAGGACGAGGCTTTGCACTCCGCAGACAACAAGAATATGAGGAATATCCGCAATGCGAACTCCATCAGCAAGGGACAAAACAACATCCCTATTTAGCGTCCGCATTTGTTCCATGTCCGCTACTTTCCAGCTTTCTTGTGATATTGTCTTGACCTTCCCAAAAGCTTGCAGTGCCTCGCACACATAGGCGTCCTCCAAGCGCTCAGGAAGCCACATAAGCTTCAACTTCACTTCCGTGGGCTCCGGGTCTATAACGAGGCATCGACGACTTTTGACGAAAAATTCGCCTCTTGTGACCAACTTTGTTTTCGTCAGCGTTGACTTGCATGTGACCATCCAAACATGAGACATTTGAAATTGACCTATGGAGCTTATTTCCTTCAAGTCAATGATGTCCCGAAGAGCATCTCTAAAATCTTGAACCCGGTAGGGGCGACCAGCTAAGTCCGCATGTAGAAAAACAGAGTCCACAACAAGCTTACCGGTGGGAAGGCGAGGAAGTACAACACGGTAGTCATTGCCGCTGGCTGAAGCCTGAGCAGCACCTCGTCCCATGGCCGATAAATCCTTCGAAGTGGAGAACATGAAAAACGCCTTCGTTCAGAACGTCGCCTTCGTCTTCCCCCGTTATGTCAAGAGCATTTATTTATGCTATTTATCGTGCTCAACAGATTATTTGAACAACAAAATTAATTATTACTTGAAATAAACAAAATCATCTCGTCATTGCAACTTGATACAATTTTTTAACAACAAAAAAGATTCTATCATAAAAGAAAAGGGCAGCAATGTTTTAGTAGAATCACTCGTCGCATTTCATGGTGTCGTATAATAAAACACATAAAAAAGATTGCGCAAAGGTCGAGAGCGCTTTGGTGGTGCCGTTGTTCGAACTCGGGACTTCTCACATGCGAAGCAAGCGCTCTTTCTCTGAGCTACACCTCCGTTATGTCAGGAGCACTTATTTATGCTATTGATGGTGCTCGTCAGATTATTTTAACAACAAAATTATTTACTACTCAAAATAAACAAAATCATCTCGTCATTACAACGTGATACAATTCTTTATCAACAAAGAAAGAAACACATTTCTATCATAAAAGAAAAGGCCAGCAATGTTTTAGTAGAATCACTCGTCGCATTTCATGGTGCCGTAGTATTACAACACATAAAAAAGATAGCGCAAAAGTCGAGAGCACTTTGGAGGTGCAATGTTTGAACCCGGGATTTCTCACATGCGATGCAATTGTTCTACCTCTAAGCTACACCCACGTTATGCCAGCAGTACTTATTTGTGCGTTTGATGGCGCTCAACAGATTTTTATAACAACAAGTGATTGATATGTGGGATTTAACGTCCCAAAACCATCATATGAATATGAGAGACGCCATAGTGGAGGGCTCCGCAAATTTAGACCACCTGGGGTTCTTTAACGTGCACCCAAATCTGAGCACACGGGCCTACAACATTCCCGCCTCCATCGGAAATGCAGCAGCCGCAGCCGGGATTCGAACTCGCGCCCTGCGGGTCAGCAGCCAAGTACCTTAGCCACTATACCACCGCGGCGGGGCTATTAAAACAATAAAATAAATTATTACTCGAAATATACAAAATCTCCTATTCATTGCAACGTGATACAATTTCTTTTTGTCAACAAAAAAAAGAAACACATGTCTATCATAAAAGAAAAGGGCAATGATGTTCTAGTAGATTTACTCGTCGCATTTCATGGTGCCGTAGTATTACAACACATAAAAAGATAGCGCAAAAGTCGAGAGCGCTCTGGAGGTGCTGGGGTGTGAACCCGGGACTTCTCACATGCGAAGCAAGCGCTCTACCTCTGAGCTACACCCGCGTTACGTCAGACGCACTTATTTATGTATTTGATGGTGCTCAACAGATTATTTTAACAACAAAATATTATTATTCGAAATAAACAAAATCATTTTGTTATTGCAACGTGATACATTTTTTTGTCAACAAGAAAAGAAACACACTCCTATCATAAAAGAAAAGGGCATCAATGTTCTAGTAGATTTACTCGTCGCATTTTATGATGCCGTAGTATTACTACACCCAGAAAAGATAGCGCAAAAGTCGAGAGCGCTCTGGAGGTGCCGGGGTTTGAACCCGGGACTTCTCACATGCGAAGCAAGTGCTCTACCTTTGAGCTTTACCCTCGTTATGTAAGGAGCACTTATTTATGTGTTGGATGATGCTCAACAGATTATTTTACAACAAAAAAAATAATTACTCGAAATAAACGAAATCATCTCGTTATTGCAACGCGATACCATTTTTTTGTCAACTAAGAAGCCGTGCTAATTTTCATTAAATCAGGCCGGAGCTAGAATATTTTTATCAGGAACTTTTTTTGTCGTCGTTTTCCTCAAAAACCGTGAACGAAAACTGGATTGTTATTAAAGAAAAAAATTTAGAGATAGTTGACAAGCTTTTACCGCTGATCTCTGCATCCAACGATTAAACTAACCCTTGGTTTACTAAACATCTTCGAACATTACGAAATAAAAAGAAACGTTTCTATGATACTGCAAAACGCATTGGCTCTATGTCCTACTGGGATAAATACGAGGTCTGCTTACTAGACTATTGTAAAGCCTTAGACACAGCTAAAAAGAAATATTATTCGCAGGACTTGCCATCTCTGCTCAAAAATAACCACAAAATGTTCTAGCAAAGAATTTCACCCAACAAGTCTCATAATCACATTACAATACACGATATTTAACTAACACCGCTTTCTGATGAAGCTTCCGCTATTGCTTTCAATGAGTACTTCGCTTCTGTTTTTACACAGGAAGATTGTTCCAATGTGCCATTTTTTCCAGATCACCCTTTCGCTTTATTGGCCCCAATCATTGTCACTGCCGAAGGTATAGCCCAACTCATCACGAATCTTAAGGTTTCTACTTCATCAAGTATTGATAACAATAACCCTAAAATACTGAAGAACACCACAGATATTTCCAGCCGCTTCCTTTGTCTCCTATTTAACCAGTCGCTATGATCAGGCGAACTGCCCAAGGATTGGAAGATTGGTAATGTGATTATTGTATTTAAGTCCGGTGACAGGCACTCGCCCCGTAATTATCAACCCATTTCACATACATGCATCTCTTGCAAACTACTTGAACATATCGTGGCTTTTCATATTTACGATCACCTTGAATCACGCAACTTCTTCTTCTCCCATCAGCATGGCTTTAGAAAAGGCTACTCATGTGACACCCAGTTATTCGAATTCATGCCTGGCATTCACTTTAATATGAACACTAACGAACAAACCGATTGCCTCTTCCTTGATTTCGCCAAGGCATTCGATACTGTCCCTCTTTGTCGTTTAATCTCTAAATTGGCCGCACTTCGTATTGATTCATTAATCCTGTCTTGGCTACGAAGCTTCTTCTTTTCGCGTGAGCAACTTACGGTGATCAACGACATTTCATCTAACCTTTGCGACGTCACATCCGGTGTTCCCCAAGGTAGTGTAATAGGTCCGTTACTTTTTCTAATATACATTATTGATTTGCCCGATAACCTTTCATCCACAGTTGGGTTGTTCGCTGACAATTGCGCCTTATACCGCAACATTAAATGTTTTATTGATCATTCCGCTCTCCAAAATGACCTTGACCTAATCTTCCCGTAGTGCGAAACTTGGCAGAGGTCCCATAACGCCTCTAAATGCATGTTAATCTCATTCACTCGAAAGCATACCAATTCAGCATTTCACTGTAGGATTAATAAGGCCGTTGTGTCAGCTACACAATCATACAAATATTTACGCGGTCACCTTACATCGGATCTGTCCTGTACTACGGATATAGCAGCTGTCTCATCGAAAGCATCTCAATCTCTCGAATAACTCCACAGAAACTCGCGCAACGCTCATTCTAACGTACGCGCATTATCATATATTAGTTATGTTCGCCCACAGCTAGAGTATGCATCATCCACATGGTCACCATATCAAGAATACTAGGTATGTATTTAGGAAGCCGTCCAGAAAAGGGCAGCGAGATTCATCTCCGGAAACTACGACTATCATTCAAGTATTACCCTAATAAAACATGACCTTGCATTTCAGTCACTAGAAATACGCCGTAACATTGCTCTTTTATGTATGTTTCATAGGTACATTTATAGTAACGAAATTCACTGCCACTTTATTCTCCTACGCGCACTTCCCAGTGCATTCACAATGCACGTAGTTTTATGCGCATTCATGGTCACACGCAGGGATTTAACTTATCATCACTACCTAGGGCCATTGCATATTGAAACGCTCTTCCGATTTATGTTGTATCCATTTGTAACCGTCAAATTTTTGGGGAAAACCTGATTTCCTTGCACTCTAGTATTGTATAACGCTGCTGTTGCACCTTGATTTTCATAATTATATATATATATATATATATATATATATATATATATATATATATGCTCGTCTGATTTTCTCCTTTATTGTTATTTCGTTTTTTACTGATTCCCCCCTTACTCAATGCCCTTCAGTGAGCCTGTAAGACATTTCGAATAATAAATAAATAAAAAAACACATTTATATCATAAACGAAAAGGGCAGCGACATTATAGTAGATTTACTCGTCGCATTTCATGATGCCGTAGTATTACAACACATAAAAAAGATAGCGCAAAAGTCGAGAGTGCTCTGGAGGTGCCGGGGTTGGAACCCGGGACTTCTCACATGTGAAGCAAGCGCTCTACCTCTGAGCTACACCCCCGTTATGTCAGGAGCACTTATTTATGCATTTGATGGTTCTCAACAAATTATTTTAACAAAAAAATAAATTATTACCCTAAATAAACAAAACCTTCACGTCATTGAAACGTGATACAATTGTTTTGTAAACAACGAAAGAAACACATTTTTATCATAAAAGAAAAGGGCAGCGATGCTCTAGTAGATTTTCTCGTCGCATTTGTTGGTGCCGTAGTATTACAACACATATAAAAGATAGCGCAAAAGTCAAGAGCGCTGTGGGGGTACTGGGGTTTGAACCCGGGACTTTTCACATGCGAAGCAAGTGCTCTACCTATGAGCTACAGCCCCGTTATGTCAGGAGCACTTATTTATGCGTTTGATGGTGCTCAACTGGTTATTTTACCAACACAAGAAGTTGTTACTCGAAATAAACAAAAAACTCTCGTCATTCTGAGCACACGGGCCTGCGACATTTCCGCCTCCATTGGGAATGCAGCCACCGCAGCCGGGATTTGAACCCGCGACCTGCGGGTCAGCAGCCGAGTACCTTAGCCACTAGACCACCGCGGCGGGGCGATGAAGGCCTGCTAGTCACTATGTACAACCTATGTGGCCTTGCTACAAAAAGTAGGTATTTCTGTGAAAATCTGGACAATGATCAGTTTCTTTCCCATATCATAACTTAGCAGTGGAACTCTTTACCAGATTATGCGATCAAAATAACATATCTGAGAGTTGCAACTGGTGGGAAAGGGAGGCGAGAGGAGTCATAAGTAAAGGTCAGAGAAAGCAGGCGTAAGGCGTTTGAGGCATAGCCTAGTACAGCATGTATAGCATAGCAAGGGATGGAGAGAAAGAGAGGGTGAGAAGGGGGAAAGGAGGGCAGTAAGGCAACCAGTCTCGCTTTTTTCAGGGTCTTTGCACCCCTAGCGTGTAGCTCAGAGGTGCTTGCTGAAGCTCTAAGCCCGTGTGCTCCGATTTAGGCGCACGTTAAAAAACCCCTGGGGGCCGAAATTTCTGCAGCCCTTCACGACGGCGTCTCTCATATTTATAGGGCGGTTTGGAGACGTTAAATTGCAGATATTATTATTAATAATATTAATAATATTATTATTATTGTATGGTCGCCCGTTTGATGTCGTCACCGACCATCATGCACTATGCTGGCTTTCATCATTGAAGGATCCCTCAGGCCATCTCGCCTGTTGGGCTCTTCGCTTACAAAACTACGACATCCGTGTGCTGTACCGCAACGGACGCCAGCATGCTGACGCCGATGCCCTCTCACGCTCCCCTCTACGTCAAGACGACGTGCCCTGCTCAGTAACCTCATTTGCTGTATCTGCCATCGATGTTGAGATCCTCGATACCGAACAAAAAAAGGATAATTGGATCGCCCCGCTGATCGACTTGCTCTCTGATCCATCCAAAACACCATCCACGCGTGCCTTGCGTCGTCAAGCTCACAATTTCGCCATCCGTGACGGCCTCTTACACCGACGAAATTACGACTCCGATGGCCGGCAGTGGTTACTCGTCAAACCCCGCAGTCTGCGGTCGGAGATATGTAAATCTTTCCATTCTGATCCGCAATGTGTGCACTCTGGGGTATCCAAAACTTACCACCGCATTCGACAACGCTTCTTCTGGCGCGGGATGTACCGCTACGTGCAGCAGTTCGTTCGCTCTTGCCTCACTTGCCAACGCCGCAAACCGTCGGCACACATGTCGCACGCCGGTCTGCAACCGTTACCTTGCCCTGACCGTCCCTTTCGGCGCGTAGGTATCGATTTGTATAGACCACTTCCTTTGACGTCGGCTGGTAACCGCTGGGCCATCGTTGCCGTAGACCATTTAACGTGATACGCCGAAAACGCCGCTCTCCCTGCAGCTACTGCGCGCGATGTTGCGTCCTTCCTGCTGCATCGATTCATACTGCGCCACGGACCACCCCAAGAGCTTCTCAGCGATCGAGGCTGTGTCTTCTTGTCGGAAGTCGTCGAAGCCATTCTGACGGAGTGCCATTCTGTCCCCCGCAAAACTACTGCTTACCACCCGCAGACGAATGGCCTCACCGAACGCTTTAACCGCACCCGTGGCGACATGCTCTCGATGTACGTCGCTGCCAACTACTAGAATTGGGACAATATACTGCCCTTCGTCACCTACGCCTACAACACCGCCCCTCAGAGCACGACCAGTTTTTCACCTTTCTACTTGCTGTACGGAAGCACCGGTCGCACACCATGGACACGATACTCCCGTACACGCCGAATCTGAGTGTGCACCCATTTCTGAAACAGCCAGGCTTGCCGAAGAGTGTCGTGAGCTTGCCAAGACATTTAAGACACATGAGCAAGAGTGGCAGAAGATTATTCGTGATGACTCCGCCACTTCTGAGCCCACGTTTCTTCCTGGTGCGCTTGTATGGCTCTCAACCCCGACCTCTGCAGCTGGCCTCTCTTCCAAACTACTTCCCAAATATAAAGGCATCGAGCGCACTCTTCGAGCGCACCATGTCATCGAGCGCACTCTTCCCGTCAACTATCTGATCGAACCCGTTGAACAATCTTCGGACATGCGCCGCCGTGGGCGCGACATCGTCAACGTGAAGCGCTTGAAGGCTTATTATGATCCGCTCATAGTAACAAGCTGTTAGGTCGCCAGGCGGCTCCCTCTTCGACCCCGGGGTAATTGTAGCGAAGCCTCCGAACTCGGAAATGGGTCGAACTCTTGAGTACCTCCTAGTGGGGCTACCCAACAAGGACGCCGCTCGCGCTGAGAGTCCGTGCTTGGCCGCGACTGTCGTCATTTTGTATGCTCGCTGGTTGCCGGCTAATAAACGCCTTAACTATATTATTATTATTATTATTATTATTATTATTATTATTATTATTATTATTATTATTATTATTATTGGGCTAGTCCGTTCATACCTGTTTTGTGATGTGTGAGAACATGTCGTTTGGCACTTCACGCAGAAACATTGCTTGTGTAACATGTTGCAATAAATCGCTCAAAAGTTAACACACCCAATGCTCCTATTTGCTTGATCTTTTCTTCGTTTTGCGCTAAGCGACTATCACCCTTTTTTAAGGCGCGAAGCTCCTTAAGACCTCACCCATTCATCCCTGTTGTCGTTTGTAACCACCGGTGGTACATACCCGCTCTCTGGCACATATACGCATCTTTATATGTTACGGAAAACATAGCACGCCGTCGTTATCAAGCATTCGGTGTTAATAAAGCGCTGACAGCAGAAATGTGGTATATACTCTCGTTTAGTCCTGGGATGGCGCTGGATGGCAGTACTTGTATATGATGAATATATGATAAAATGAAGCAATATGGCGGTACTTGAAGTGTTTACTAGATAGATGAACGGACGCACGGATGAACAGATAGAAAAGCAGATAGACAGACGGACAGACAGACACTTGCACGGACGTATGGACGAATGAACGGGCGCACGCACAAACAGACGCACTAACGGAGGCAAGTACGGATGAACTGACGTACGGACGGGCGCACGCACGGACGAGTGGACGCACGAACGGAAGCACGGACGCATTGACGAACGCTTCACCCCACTCATGGTCAATCATTTCTTGGACATGCTGTGATTTTTTTTTTGTTTTTGTTCAAAAGAAAATCTAGTGCGTAGCTCCTCCGTTTTTTCGCATAAGTAAGTTTCTAACGGCCATCGTACTTTCATGAGAGCGATATTTAGCTGGACCGGAAGACCCACGTCGCTACGTTGCGATTGGCTGTAGCGGTGCATGCGCATTTACGATCATATTGAGGTTTTCTTTAAAGACACGATTCTTTTCCCGCACACCTACAAAAACTACGCTGTTCATAGATATACCTATATGTTTGCCAATCTATGAAGCCCCCCCCCCCTCTTCCTCGGCATGGGAAAAATGCTCATGTAGTTACCTGGTACGACGACCGAATGAGAAAAGAGTGCAATACGAGATGTCGGTATTGTTTCCGGTGCGGAGTAAACGTACACTGCCGACAACAAAATTTATTCGGACAAACAACAGCGTATACCAGGAAAACGCACCCTGTTGCTCTTATGGTACAGCAATCTGTAAACTATCAGTGTTGTAAAGTGGCTGTAATCAGGATTGAAAATGCAATGCGCAATATTTACTGCCGGTTTTCTTCGTTCCTCATAGCCCGAGATGTCCACCCTATGAAGCTTATATAGAAAAACACGTTAGCATGCTTTCGCATCAAGTTTCAGCGAATGGCTATTGTTTCTCGCACAGAGCCGTCAAAGAAACAGGAGTAGCCGTGTGAAAAACATTAGGGAATATCGTGCTTTGCACTGTGTGTACGACATTTGTTCAGCCTGCAGGAAATGACACGAAGTTTTACATACAGCTTCAATGCCTTTGACGCAAAGCAACTTCGCGTTATAAACCCCGGTTGCTTTGCCCGCGTTGTTCAAGTATTGTGCGCTGATTGTCTGATTATAAGTCGAAACATGTGCATCTCTTTAGAATGGCGTTCTCGATGGCGACTCGAACGGGCCAAGCTCTGTGAAGAGTTTTCATGTGGGTTGAAACATCGTCAGCGCAATGGCCTCACGTTGAAACAACGCGAGTCTATCACCCTCACAACGTTTCATTAGAACACTTTACCGCGTTATTCGATCCGTGTCGACGTCGCTTGTAACTTAGCGAATAGACTCAGCACGCAAATGCAGTCTTGGGGAGACCTTGCATTGATAACTTTAGGAAGTGGCGCGTGAAGCTTTTTGATAACAGCGCTCCATCTAGTTTTTGTTTAATTAAACGGTGTGAAACTACCGGAGTTTTAGGGCACATAAATAACGGGAGACATTTACAATAGCTGCGTAAATCTTAAGAAACCGAAAAACTGGCTGATCTGAGGCGCCTAATTAAAGTGTCCTTTTTGGGCGACGCTAGGTCCTTCCTTAGTGTATGCAAAGCAGGTGGA